AGACGCTCATGTGTATCATCGACTTCCCTGCAAACTGTATATCATTTTGCATTTTAGTCTTCTTTTTTTCTCTTTCCTGTCTCTCTTTTTACGTTCTTGCCTGTGTACTCGTTAGTGTGCGTGACGTATGTAAGTTTTTTTTTGTGTGTAGGTTACCGAAAATGTCCTTGGCAGAATAAAATTCACTAAAAGCTTTCTATCAAATTACATCTCCCTATCTCCTGACACCCACCACGTCAGCGCTTTCCTTGGCTACACGAACATTTCTTTCTTTTTCCTCTTCTTTAAAGATTTTCTTTTTTTTTTTTTATTTTCTTGCGATCAGAAGTGCAGCGAGCCAATAACCAAGGCCGACACATCTGAGGAAAAAGTAAAATAAAATGAACAATGATGGAGTAAGAATTAAAGTATAGAAAAGGAGAAAAAGAAAAAAAAGGAAAGTATAAGAAGAAAGAAAAAAAAAGAAAGGACGTAGAAAAATAAGAAGAAAGAATAAAATTAAAGGAAGAGGAAAAATCGAAGAAGGGGAAAAGAAGGACGAAAAAAAAAATCAACGAAGAATGAGAAAGAAGAAAAAAGAAAGAAGCAATAAAAAATGGAGGATGTAAAAAATTGAGGAAGAAAGAAAATTAAAAAAAAAAAGGAAAATCGGAGAAGGAGAAGACGAAAAAAAAAGGAGGAAAACCGAAACGAAAACAAGAGAAAAGATAAAAAAAGGAAAAAATAATAAAAAAAAGATGGAAAAAAAGAAAAAGAAAAAAATCAATGTAGAAGGTAAAAGAAGGAAGAAGTGAAAAAAGAAAGAAAGAAAAAAGAAAGAAGAATATCAAAGAAGAAATGTTAACACCGAGGAAAATGATGAAAAGAAACGAAACATAGAGGAAGAAAGAAAAAAAAAAAAAAAAAACAGAAAAGGAGAAGAAAAAACGCAGGATGAAGGGAAAAGGAAGCTAAGTAGTAAAGCAATGAAAAAAAATAAAATAAAAGAAGAGAAAAAATCAAGGGAGAATGAAAAAAGAAAAATCAACGGAGAAAGAAAAAAGGAAGGAAGAATAAAAATGGCGTAAGGAAGAATACGAGCAAGAAGGATGAAAAGAAGTGAAAAATAAAGGAATAAAGAAAAGAGGAACAAAGAAAAAAACGAGGAAGAAATCATAAAGAAAATACGGGAACGAGAAAGGAAGAAGAAAGAAAATCGAGAAAGAAGGAATAATGAGAAAAAATGTAGGAAGAATGAAAAACCAAAACAAAAATTGGAGGTAAGAAAAGGAATGAAAGGAAAAGAAGAAAGAATCGGGAAAGGGAAAAGATCAGAAAGAATGAATAAAAGGAAGGAAAATCGAAGTAAAAAAAAGAAGAACGATATCCGACCCCCCCCCCAAAAAAAAAACAGGGTGTAGTGTAAGTGGAAGAGAAGAAGGCAACCATGAAATAATGAAAAGTAAAAGAAAACGTGAAAAGACTAAATAAAAAGAAAGAGGTACACAGAAAATTTGGAGGCAGTGTAAAGAAGAGAAAAAGAAGAAATAATGAAAAGAAAAATGATATGTGAGTGAGGAAAAAAGAAAACAAGGAAGAAGAGAAAAAAAAAAGAAGTGTCTATAATACAAAACCGATTACTACTTTAAATTGTCACTCCTCCATATACTAATGGTAACAAGGAGGCATTACTCGAATCGGATAATGTTTCATCTGTTAGCGTAATAACTATATAAATATTGAAATCAGGTTGCTGATGCATTATACATGAGCTTTCGTTAATTGCTTGTTTGTTTGTTTATGCATAGCGGCATATCAACATCTATGGGTCATTTAATGTCGAAAACTAATTATTTTGTACGCAATTTTATTTTGGGAGATAATAATACTTTTAGTGATATAAGTTTAACTAATTAACTCACAGTTGGGGGGGGGGGAAAGAGATGGATTAATACCTTACTCAAAGTTACTTGCGTATAAGTGAATATAACTAGAATTAGAATTCGATTCACCGATTAACAATTCCGAGCCACATACCACACGCACATCCAAGCTTACAGCGGTCACCCATCTATGTACTGACCAGGCTCGACATTGCTTAACTTCAGTGAATCTACGGGAACCGGTGTTTCAAGCTTTCTTTATATTAAAGAAGTTCTATGTACTGTGCCTCATTAAGACGTGAGTGATCGTGGCTCTCCACAACTTCCTATTCTTTAAATCTATTATTAATGATTTTATTTTTATTATCCTGATAACTCGTTAAATAAGTTACTCGCTCTTTCCCTCTATCCCCCTTACTCTCAGGATGTCCTGTGAGTGTCAAATTCCCCTAGCCCTCTTTCCTCATAAATGTACCCCCCACACAAATTCTGATTCTGATTCTAAGTACTATTGTCTTTATTGTTTCCAATTTTCTTAAAATTTCAAGGATTTCTTCCGTCTATCGTATTCTCAGCATCATTCTTTAGAATCCCAACTGTGTTGTCTAAAGTTTCCTCTCCGTCTGAAAATGTCCAGCATTCACTTCCAAATGGAAGGAATGATATCACACAGGAATTCAGGGGTCTTTTCTTTGTTTCTAACGAAATTTTCCATTTTTCTTAATATTTTGTTTAGTTTTTAGAAGACATATTCTGCTATTACAATTTGCCTATGAATTTCAGTGTCAAATATAAAAGTAGGTAACCAGGTCTACATATAACGGTTCAGAAGCAGTTTGCGTTCTTCTTCTTCTTCTTCTTCTTCTTCTTCTTCTTCTTATTATTATTATTATTATTATTATTATTTCTAAGAAACTTTTGTCATTTTAATATCCCTCCCATTCCTTGTTCTGACAGATTGGTTATTTACTGTTTACTCCGCTTCTCTTAGATTCCATGTTCTGCGTGTGTTAAATTCTCTAAGCTGCAATTCCTTATTATGTTTTCGAGAAATTTCATTTGTTTCTTTCTGATGGTAAGTATATGTTTAATTCCTAATTTTGTTATAATTTCATCGCTGGCCCCATGTTCTAAAAAGGTATCCTCAGTATCCTTCTGTAGTCTTTCTGAGGAGGATGGTCCAACGTTGTTTCTTTTAAGATTTCCCCTAGTTACTTTTATATATTTATTTTCCCCATCGCTTTCTTCTTTTATTTCTCTTTATAATCTTACGAATTAAACATTGTTCTTACTCTATAATCTTAATAGTAAACCCTTTTTGTTGCTCTATAATCTTACTTATCAACGCTTTATTCTTACTATATAATCTTACTAGATAACCTATTTTCTTACACAATAATCTTACTAGTTAATCCCCTTTTCTTACTCTATAATCTTACTAGCTAACCTTTTTATGACTCTATAATCTTACTTATCAATCCTTTTTTTCTTACTGTATAATTTTACTAGTTAACTCATTTTGTTACTCTATAATCTTATGACTCAACCTTTTTATCTTACTCCATATACTTACTAGTCAACTGTTTCTTCTTGCTCTATACACTTACTTGTCACCCTTGACGATCAAAAAGATTTAAGACATTTCGCAATGGCGTTAGTCATATTTTCATGATTAATGTAATTTTTTTTACTATTATTAGTAGTTGCATATAAGAATTAAATCTGTTTTTAAGGCCAAGGCTGTGTCTTCCCATCGGATTTATTCAGCCTTTACAGTGAAGGAATTCTAAGAGAATTAGAATTCCTAATGAGATTTAATATCGGTGGATACAATCTAAAAGAAAATGGAAACAAAAAGAACACTAATATGTGACAGTAAATGTTCAAAAGTTACATACAGCAAGAAAGAAAGGAAGCTGTGGAGAATCATGGTCGCTAAAGCATTGAAGAGACTTGACACATAAAGAAGGATCAACAAAAAAGCGATATATTAAGAAAAAAAGAGAAAATAAAAGATAAAAGACCAGAGAAGATAGGAAAAAAATATATAAGCAAGGGGAGATAATCAGAGATAGCCGTCTCTTATTATCAGTATTTAAAAAATGTTTTAATGTTAAATCTCTAATTGATTAAAATATCTAAATTTTTGATGCAACTTTCACCTTTTTATTCTAATGAACTCTCATAATAAATTGTGTATTTTGGCAGTAATCTCACTTTTATGCAAGTTTATTAAAAAACGACTGACAAGGCACTGTGATTAAACTTTTTTATTATTTTTTCTTGCATTCGTACAAGTGATTTCTTTTCTGGATCTAAAGTGTGTAAAAACTGTTCAAATGATCTGTGGATCCAAGCGCTTTCCGTTGAGCTATTAGCCATTATCAATGATGTTTTTTTTTTATTGTTTAAGTGTCCAGAAAAGTAAATACTTGTTCGAACGCAAAAGAAATTTAATAAAAATAATGGTAGATTTATCTGTAAGCTAAATAAGTTACAACTTAGGGCTACACACCGACTGTTCCTTATTTTAAAATATATTTTTATTTTAGCATTAGTTTTTATTCTTTAACATTAAATCATCAACTTGGTCTTGCAATAAACTCTGTCGTCGCCATCTTTGTCGTTCTGTTGCTAAATCTTTTCTTCCGAGAGATATTTCCATTTTACTGCTATATCAAACACATAAAATTGTTAACATGAAACGATACTGAACAAAAAAAAGAAGCAATTTGTATAATACCAGGAGTAATCAATGGACGGCAGATACCACTGAACGGCTAAAATATATAGATCTATATTGGCCTCTATTTTAGTTGTGAATTCTTTTTCTCCGTTTTATTGAAGCTCAATACATTTTTTTCAAGATTTTATTTCATTGTATCACACGGTTGCGGGATAAATATTAAGTCACCATTATGTTACGGCAATCAAGAGTTTGGAGAGTAAATATTTACGGGCTTCTGGAAAATTTGTCCCACTAACAGTATTGGCGGACTCAATGCGAGTCCAGGTAATAAAAAAAAATGAGTAACACAAAACAATATAAAACAAATGACATCCCATGTATTAATTAATTACAATAAAAGAAGAAAACATTTAAAGACTAATTACATAGAAAGCATTTAAATTAGAGAATGTGCGTTTTTGTGTGTGTGTGAAATTTGTGTAGGTCTATGGGATAGACATATGTGTAAAAGAGTACAAAAAGACAAAACAGAAAACCATGAAAATAAACGTACCTCAGTGGGCGGGGGGCAATTTTTCCCGTGTTCGACTAATTCTTATAGCCCGAAACAGTAAAAGAGGAAAGAGGCTAGAGAGAGAAATTTTTTATAGGTTTAAGAAGCGCCCCCTAGAGGCCCCCCTTTTTTTCTTTTAGCAAAGTCAAGTGAGATAACCCACCACACTATTAAAGTTTTCTACCAATTTTTGACGGCCTGGGTACACTAGTTAATAATAATCATGCAAAATTATTTCAATTTTTTTTAGAGAAGTGCATCGAATTTCATATAGTTTAGGGTCCCATCAGGTGAAAGTCTGGCCCTGAATAAAAACATTAATCGCAAGGCACTGTCAGTCGTCTTCAATGAAACTTTTCTAATAATAAATTGTACATTTTTTCTGTTTTGTACGCGGTGTTTCAGGCTTATTGGCTTTCCATCTTGCCTTCAAATAAAAATAATTGGAAATATTTAGTGAGAATTTGGAAAAAGATAATACCATTGTCCCATAAAAACTGATACATTTAGTTTATGAAACGTGAAGGCAAATCTGACAGAGAACGTATTTTATAATAATGCTTCCTGCTCTAATTCGGTATCTATTCATTTCGAAAGCAAAATAAATAAAAAGAGAAAATAAGGGTCGACTTATATACGGAATTAATGCGATTGTAAATCAAGGTTTATCCAATATAAGTAGTTGATTAATTGAACAGTGAATCGATAGGGGATTGGGAAAAGTAAGCAAAAAAGATAGAAACAGTATTTGACAAAGGGGAGAGAACTCAGCGCAATTAAATCCGAACCTATTTCATGTTTAATTTAGAATTTATTTTACAATGACGAAAAATACAATTTTTATGTTTTTCTCATATAAAAAAAACACAACAACACTTTCATCTTACATAGAGAAATGAATATATTTAATTTTGAAAAAACCGTCAATCTGGAAATTTAGCAAATAATTCAAAGATAATAAAAGACATGTGCGGCTGGATTTATTTATTAAAGGATATTCTTATTTTAATGAAAAGGGCTTCACGCAAGTTAGGTTCTTATCTGGAAAGAACATATCAATCGTTTGGAAAATACGTTCAAAATCCCAATAGATTGATTGCAAGAGATTCAGCCTTGAGTTTTCTGTGTTAATAAGTTTCCAAATTCTTGAAGCATGGAGTAACCCTTGATAACAATTAAAGCAATACGTTTCATTCAGAAATTATAAAAACACAATGAATTTAACGTTTTTTAAACTCAAATTTATTTAAAAAAACGAGTCCAGATTTTTGTAAATTTATTTTTAAGTATTTTCTAGATCGTTGTAAAATTTCACGTTTATCTTCATTTTCAGGAGATATTTTCTTTATATTAACAGGAAAAAAAACAACTTATATCCAGTAATTATGAAACAGTTCAAAAGTCAAGTTTTCATTAACCAAATATTATTTAGCCAAAAGGTAGATTATATCTAACTTTTTGACATTTTCAGAACTATGTCTACCTTTTTGACTTTAGTATTTCTGATCTGTGACTACCATTTTAATTCTTGTGTAAACCGGGATCGAGATTTATTGTGTTAACATACAGCAATTGTGGGTAGTTTAAACCGGACTCTTGTTTACCTTTTTGTCTAGAGTTTAAACTGCGTCTACATTTTTGACTTTATTTTTTTTTAAAATCTATATCTACCATTTTCCCATTGTACAAAGGACCTATATCTATGTTTTTCGCTCTAGTGTAAACTGAACCTGTGTCTACCTATTTGTTATTGTGTAAACTGAACCTGTGTCTACCTTTCTGACCTTTTTGTGTAAACAAGACCGATGTATATCTTTTTTCTCGAGTGTAAACTTGACATATGTTCAGCTTTTTTTTTATTCTAGTGTTTTCGAATGTAAGCCTACCTTTTTGATATTAGTGTAAAATGGACCCGATTCTACTTTTTGCTTCTAGGGTAAACCAGGTCTGTGTCTAAGTATCAATTGATTGATTGTGACATAAATCCTTTTAGACTTATAATTGACATTAAATAATTTAACAAGTGCTCATAATGTTGTCAAATTGACCAGCCTTATTAACCTTTAATAACAGATCGTTTTTCTTTATTGGGACATGTGGTCTACAATAATTTTTCACTTTCGGTTGCAACTCCTCTGCTAGTATTTGCCATTCTGAAGACTACCTCTTCCATTGGGACTATCAGTTCCAATTATGGAATGCTTTTTGAGACTTAAAACTCCAGACTTTTCTTTACTGTTGTTTTCTCGCAGGAAATGAACTGATGTTTGTTGAATAGCTTTCTGGTGTTGATGTTGAATTTTTCAATTTTTATGACCCTCATATTAAGTTGCCCTTCAGCCATTCGAATTCCTAACAGAAAATGGTGTTTATTCATTTCTATACAAATCTACTATTATTTGGTCTATGAATTTTAGTCTTCGATTCGTCTCTCGGCTATGAATCAGGTTCAGATCACTGCACGTGGAAAGGAATGATAAATAAGCCATCATCATTTGTATGTCATGTGCTTTCAGGTCGTGGACGATCATGGTTCTCCACAACTTCTCTTTTATTGCTCTATCTAAACATTGTCCACGCTCTGCTATCTATTCACAAAAACTCATTAATTAGGTTAATCTCTGTCTCTCCTTCATTTTTTGACTTCAATAAAGCCTGAGAGTGTTAAATTCTCCAGACCTTCTTTCCTCACTATATTACACAGAAATTTTAAGGATTTCTTTCTGATAGTAAGTTTACTTTTAGTTCCTATTTTCCTTAAAATCTTTTTGTCCAAGTTATTCTCATCTATCTTCAGTAGAAACACAATTCTGTAGCTTCAAGACTCGTCTTCGTCCTAGTTCTGGGTATGACGATAAATCACATCCGGCAGCCAGGCCCCTGATTGCTGTTGTTACCGGGTTCACCCTGACTCGGGGTGGTAGCACCTGTTAAGGTCCCAGGTAGGGGCAAATAGTGACGTCCCTCAACAAAAGCAAAACATTATGAAAGCATAAAATGACATTTTTATAGTAAAAACACCAGGCCGTTGTACGCTCCAGCCTTCTTAAGGTGGTTGGAATTTCGAAGACCCCTTTATTTGCTCAAGGACACATGGCACAGTGGATAAAGGCGTTGGTTAGATTCTGTGACAGGACCCAAACAGTGTGAGTTCAATACCCGGTTAAGGCAGTGGAGAACTTTCAGAGGGAAATTAACAGGAGATAACTGATAACTGACATCCATGTTTGATGGAATGCACGTGGAACTAAAACAGTCTACCCCAGTGATCGAAATAAAGGGTTCAGTTCGACATTCCAACCACCTGAAGAAGGCCGGAGCGTACAACGGCCGAAACGTTGTGATAAATATGGCGACAAAGATGATGACAATAGTCCGAAAAATGTAAATAATGTACATAATACCTCATCTCAGAAATGTAGTCAGACTCTAAAAACACCAGCAATACATTTTTATATGTAAAAAATACCAGCAACACCTACTGACAGTAAAATGACCAACAATGCATTTTATCTGTAGTTGAAAGCATATAAATGCATTCAAAATATGTAGATTTCGGCATTAAATAATTTATAGAGGTTAATATGCTGCTAAACAAAATCAACCAAACAACGAACATGAAAGAACTCTTTCATGATATTAATCATATAATATAATCATATATTAATTAATATTAATCATATAAGATAATCATATACTAATTAATATTAATCATATAATATCCTACAATTACTTAAAGAAATCAAACTCTATTCCAAAATATAACTGCGAAATTAAACACACATATCACTGCCTCTAGTAATTATCTTCACACAAACATATATATGCACAAAAGCTGAGCATCAGTTACCATGTATACAACTGTGAATTCAGAATAACAAATATATTTTTATTACTTCAAACTCCCAAGAAAATTAAATTTCAGCATTAAATGACCCATAAGGCATTGATATTCCGTTAAACAAACAAATCACTCAAGCAACGTATCAATCAATATTTACATATATATATTTATATATATATATATATATAAACATATACCGTTAGATTTCCTTAGTAGCTCATTTATGATATTACATATTATGATATCAAGCCAGCAATACATTTTATCGGTAATTCAAGGCATGCAATTGCGTTCAAAATATATTTAGTTGACATCATAACATTGTGTTCAAATTTTCTAGATTTCGGCATTAAATAACACATAGTGGTTGATATGCCGTTAAAAACTCAACCAAACAACTAATGTAAATGAACACTTTCATATAAGAAAATATAACTTCAACAAAACTGCAGCATAAAACACGCATATGACCGCCTCTAGTAATAATATCCACACAAACTTGTACAGGGTGATTGACAAGTAACTCCCCATTTTAAAATACCTATAATCTATTTATTAACTATAATTTTTTACAAGAAATAGATCTGAAATGTAAGCGTTTAGGATGAGGTTTTATTCAAAATTCGATACAGGCACCAGATTTCGCTAGCAGCTTCTAAAGCCACCTAGGAATCACGTCAACTGATTTTAGCAGGAACTCTTGTGGTATGAAAGATATAATTTCTTGTATTCGTCCTTTAAGCTTTTTTTAAAATTTTTTATTTAAGCGTTTCACCCCATGCAAGGCGGGAAGTCACTAGGACGCAAGGGGTTACAGAAGATTTGGAGCATGATCAGATAGAAGTGATAGAGGAAAGGATGAGGAGAAGGGTAGTGGATAGATCAAGGCAACTGGAGATGTCGATTGATATTACATTTGAATAGTTGGATATTATAGCTCTTAGGGAAACTGGAATAGGGAAGGGAGTTCCACAGGCGAGAGGTGCGAGATATGAAGCTATTGGAGTAGAAGAGACGGCTACATTTAATAGTTTCAACAGTTCTTCCAAAGTCTTGGTTTGGTATGGTGGACTTTCTCCTTTAACAAACCCCAAAGAAAAAATCACAAGGTGTCAAGTTAGGACTCCTGGCTGGCCACTCATACATAAAATAGGGAATTTACTTTTCAATCCCCCTGTATATGCACAAAAGCTGAATATCATCTACCATGTTTTCTAAAAGCAGAATAACGTACATTTAGTATTACCTCCAAGATCGCAAGAAAATGAAATTTCTGCATTAAATGACCTAAAGGTGTTGTTAAGCCGTTACGCAAACAAATAAATCCATCTATCGTCTTCATGTGTGAATAGATTGTTCAAATTCACTACCACAAAAGAAATATATATATATATATTACATAATGTTACGACACTATCTATTTCTATTTCTTTATCATTAACGAATTTTTCTTATTTTTTAATAAGGCACCTTACACTAATCCTATGCACCCTCGTATTTCTGTGTCACGTATTCGTTCGTCTGTTACTTTCCTACGAACATAGTTAAATTTATGCATCCGCTTGATTTTGACATTCCCATTACCTAGCTAACAAATTGGGATCTTTTTTTTTTGCTTAAAAACATACGCGTCTTCTTATAGTTAATAGTTCGTCATCTCTTCTTGCGTTTCGTCATCTCTTGCTTTTCTTTATTACCTTATCTAGTAGTTGTAGGTGTTATTATAGTTTCTTTTATTGAATTAAATCAACGAATTATCCCCCGTCGGTATGGACTGGGGAGTGAAAAGTCTCCCCGGGGAGGGAATAAAATGTACGGTTCGAAATTTCGAGAACATTTCCAACGACGAAAATGCTGTCTTTGAAAACAATTAAGATAAGAATGCTATTTAGTTACAATCAGTGTCTAAAAATAATAATAGTTCTCGTTTTTCCAAAGAAAAAAAAAAGATGTTTTGTTTAAGAATACTACATATAAATGCATACAATGGTGAATCACTGTTCAGCGCAATAAGCTGACCATATTGAGACTTAAAATGCCAATCTTAACGACCGCATTTGTACAGTTTTTATTTCCAAGTATTGAACTCTGATATGCCGGCTCCAAATATTTACAAATCTGTACCGAAAGAACACAGCCAATGACCTGATTCGTGAGGAAAAGAGAAATTTGTGATGATGTGAATTCTCCATTTAATTTTCATCTCGGCT